GCGTGTGAGGCCAACTGCCAGGGTCTGTCTGGGGTCTGTACCTGAGCGCTGAGGAGGCCCGTCCAGCGGGCAGTCCGCCCTTCCCTGCCGTTTCCCAGGCTTACACTGAGCCCCGCGGGAGCCTGCGACCTCACAGCCTCCACTCACTCACTGGGCTTAGGAAGCCTCTGGACTCACTCGTGGTGCCCCCTGCCCATCAGCTCTGCGGGAGAGGGGCGGGAACCCCTGGCACACTGAGTGACTTGGGAGAAAGGGGCCAAGGGAATGTGAGACACCAAGGAGGAGCTTCAGGGCTCGGCAGATGAGCTCTCCCCAGCACACGGTTTCCCTGCCAGGCAGCCACCCGGCACTGGAAGAGGTGAATTTACTGTGTCGAAAAACCTGGGCTGTTTTGGACATGAAGAAAGATTCAGAGGGCTGGCAGGAGATGAAGGTCCAATCCTCTGTTTTCATAGATGAGCAGCCAGCAAGCCAAAAACGGTCCTGTGGCAAGGAGTATGTTACCTTTCTGACTGTCCCCCGCCCTCGCCCATTCTCTCTCCCTGAGCCCACTCTCTGGCCCTGAGCCCGCCAGCCCACTGAGCTACAAAAGGGGAAAAGGACACATTGCTAATCTAAGTCAGGCACCGCATGAGGCTCTAGCACCCTGCAGGCCAGAGCTAGCATCCCCATCTTCACTTGTGGGTGAGGAACCTGTGACTAGAAGGCTGTTCAGTGTGCCCAAGGTCAGAAGAAAGAGGGGCAGTTGGGCTCCCAGACACTTACTGTGGGTGTTCCCCATCTTCTCAGCAGGGTCCCCCGGTGCTCGGGTAGATGAGCCTGAGTTCCTCAGCCCAAAACGTGGCCATAGGTTTATGAATAATTTTGCAGGGATCTTTTTTTAAATATTAGCAAGAATTCCTTAAGGCAGACACTCTGATGTTACAACTATTAGTGTAAAGTGGTTTATATTTTGGGATGAAGAAATTTGCATATATTTATCAAGAGTTAAAAATTATTAATCCATAGAGATTCTTTTCCTCTTGACTGCTCTGCCCCTTCTCTCTCCACATTTGGCAAAGATCTTGAACAAGAATCAAGGCAGTGTACCAGCCAGGGTCCTCCAGAGAAATAGAACCAATGGGAGAGATAGAGACACAGAGAGATCTAGAGATATGGATGGATGGATGGATGGATGGATGGATGGATGGATGGATGGATGGATGGATTGAAAAGATACAGCGGGTCTAAGGTATTGGCTCACATACTTGTGAGTGTTGGCAGGTCTGGAATCCATAGAGCAGATCAGCAGGCAAGAAATGCAGGAAGAATTTCTGTGTTAAACTCCTGAGGCTGAGTTCCTTTTCTCTGTCTGTCTCTCTGTATTTTAATTCTGTATTTATTTTATATTTTTCCATATTTTAATCAATGCATTATAATTATGAATAATGGTGGGCTTCGTTGTTTCATGCATGTGTGTGCAGATGATATAACATTATACTTTCTTCCATGAAAGCTCAGTATTTGTCTTATCCCTTTAGCTAACTGATGGCCTTATCAAGGGTAATCTTTCCTTAAAGTAGTTGTAGATGATCTTTGTATCTTCCCTGTGACAACTAGGCTAATGTTTGGCTAACACCAGACACAATACCCTAGTCCAGTGGACATATAAAACGAACCATCGTAAGCAGCAGTTGTGAGTTCTGTGCTCTGTTTGGGCTGGGCTTGGCCCCAGGCACTGCCACATACACTCTGCTATTTCTCATCAACATGCTGTACACGTGCACAAACTCTGGGACTCAGATTGGTTACAGTGACTTGCCCAGGAGGCCATCTCTGATAGAGTCAAACCTGGCTTCCAGGATTTTCTGATTACCACTCCACAAGACTGCCTTCCAAAAGCTTCAGTGTGAAGAATTTAGATTCAGCAATAGAAGATAGAAGTGTCACTCAGCTTATCAGGACTGGACCTGAAACTCAGGTCTCTTGGCTCCCAAGCCCGCCTTCTTGCACACCATAGCACCCCCTGGCTTCCAGAAAATTCACAGTCCCTGCAGACTAATGCTGGCAGCAGATTGTTCACCCCAGGCCAGCAGGTCCCAGCCGAGGCAGGATGTTCCAACCGCGCATGCTGCAGAGGGACCCCAGCTGTCGTTACCTCCTCAATAAACAGATGTGCTCCGAGTCCAGGCCCTGCAGCCACTCTATTGCTGAGACAGCCTCATAATGAGATACTTTCAGGGCATCAATATCGAAACCTCCTTGAATGGAGCCTGAAATGGACCTATCTAGTGACAAATCCATCTTTGTGGCAGTTTGCATTTCAGGGAGATTAAAGGGAATTTGCAGAAAGTCCTCCAGAATCTAATGCTGTCCGTGCAGAGGGAAATAAGGCCAGCGAGGGCTCCATCTGTAAGGCCTGCTGCTCTCCAGGTCTATTTACTCTGGATATTGCAGAATATCGATTAGGGTTGTTTCATTGCAAGGAACAGAAACCAATGCAAGGTAGTTTAATTAAAATAAAAAGAAGTTAAAGGAAAAGAAACAAAAAAATTGGGTGGTACATCTTATGGAATCAAAGTAGGATTTGGAAAAACAATACAGAAGCATGAAATTAACCAGGGCAGCTCTAGGCCTCTGCAGCAGAAGTTCCAAAGCCTGCAGTGCCCTGTCTGACAGAGCACAAGTCAGTTGTAAAGTTTCCCAGTTTCTATTTCTGTGTATATTTCCAAGGGTGAGAACTAGACTCATTCAGCTTGTGTCATGTGTCTACCCCTAAACAGCCTGCCCTGGCCAGGGGTGCAGGGATCCAGGCAGAGCTCTGTGAGTTGTTCCTAAGTGTACTGGCCACAATAAAAGGGGCAATTACTTTTTTTAATCAGGACACTCCCAAAAATGGCTGCTGGAATAACTGTGATTGTAATAGTACTTATTTGAGGCTTACATGGGTAGAAGACCTGGTATTTAGAGATCTCGGTACCTATGGTGTGCATGTGTGCATATATTTTTCCCTAATGAACCCCTTTATAATTCAGCCCTCTCAGTCTCCAACTCAATTTCCGTTGCATCATATCTTAAAATCACCAGCTGCAGATGCAATCTTGTGCCCCAATTTAGAGATACTTATCCTCAGGCTTTTAACATATTAAGTCATTTAGACAAGATGCAAACACCACCCCAGCTGAGGACAGCTGTTTGTTACCCTGTATCTCTAAGGACCAAGCACATAGTAGGTGCTCAGTATTTACTAAATGAGTAGCAACCATCCACCAATATAGGGACACTTTCTTCCATGCCCTGAGGTCCCAGGGACTTTGCCATCTTGACCCAAGAATATAATTTTTTTGACTCGTGTCCCATCCTTACCACCTGGACTCAGTAGATAAGGACCACATTTCCTAGGGAACAGGTAAAGGGCCCCAGCTCTGCCATATGTAGTATAAGTTGGATATAAAAGAGATGCTGCCTTGACCCTAGATGCCCCGTCGTGGAGGAGGGAATCGTGAGTGTTTGAAAACTGACATCATTGTTCAGACAGACAAAGCAGGCCAGGACAGGCTGACTCACACCTCTGGCCCTCACACTGGCTAAGTATAGCTCACCCCCATTCTCTCTCACTGCCATCCTTACAGATCTCCTCTGAAATAGTAACACGAGGACTCTACATCACCTGGTGTAGGGTTGACTTCAGCATAAGAATAAAAAATGAACTAGAAATGACATTCCAAGGGTTCCAGATGAGCCTCCAGTTCATCTCTCCAGCTACCTCTTCTCCAAAGGGAGCTGGTAAGAACCTTAACCCAGAGTGGCTTCAGAAGACATTCTGACCTGGTCCACATTCCCCCTCATGGCTCCTTGACACCAAGCCTGGCCAATGTCCTTCTTGGCCTGTGTTTCTGTTCTGTGCCAACTGAACCGGGGCAGCGAAATTACTGATAGTAGGACTAGTCTTGCAGATCAGCCTTAGTCCCTGCTCATACAAAGGCTCAAAGTTTTGTTCAGTGATGTGACCTCAGTAACACACAATAAGCTCTTATAGGCTATGGGGAGGGAGGGTGCTTCTTCCAGTATTTTTCAAAATGTCTTCGAGTACTTATTATTTCCCCAACGGAGGCTGCTTGCTCTCTTCTGGTGAGTAACTCAGTGATGAGGCATTGAGACTCAGAAGTCAGTGGTCTGAGCAGGAAAGTGGAATGACGTACCACATTCGTAGCCAACAGAGATCCTAAAGATCAAGGTAGGGAGTAATGACAGTCTCCATGCCTGCCCTGCACCAGGTGTGCCAAGCAGTGTCATCACCTGGCTCACAGGACCTCCAGGAGGCAGACACTATTGCCACCATTCTGGAGGAACCCAAGGTAGGGAAAAGCTAAATGACTTGGCCAGGATGGCAAGACTCATTGAGTGGCATTACCAGGATTCAAATCCAGTCTGTGCTCACTCAAAGCATCATGCCGGGTGGCCCTCCCTGAGCTTCGGTTCCCTTTCCAAGGATGGCCGCAGAGCTGGAGAAGAGCAGACAAATCCAGAGGTCAGGAGCGTCTCCAGGGAGCAGAGCCGAAGGCTGGGTGTGGAGGCAGGAGCTAATGAGAGATTGCAGAACTCTCCTCCGGCACATGGCGGACCAGAGCTCTGACATGCCTGGCTGGGTGCTGGCTGTTTAGGGACAGTTGGGGTCTGGGGCACAAGTCTGGCTCCTTTCAAGACTCAGGGTCCAGACTGTTCAAAGGGTTGAGAAGTCCCAGGCTGGTGAACCTCTCCCCACCTTTGTGGCCACCTGCTCTTGGGTGGCCAGTGGGAGGAGGGGTAGAAAGTCTTGTGAGCCCTTCTGCTGCTCCTGACTCTGGAAGGAGCACCCCGAAAGTGTGCAGGAGGCTGTCCCAGGCCTTCCTTTTGTGTTGTGCAGCATCTTGGAAGCTGCTCAGCCTCTCTGGGCCATTCACTACCAACTCTCCCAAGGGAAGGACTTTGGCCTGGAATCACAGACACCCGCTCTTTCTCTGCCCACCCCCTCTTTCCAGGAAGTCTGTCATCCAGCTTGACCTCGCCAATACCAAGAAAGCGATGATTGTCCCCGCATTTGAGACACTGCGCTACCGGCTGTCTTTCCCCAAGTCGAAAGCAGAGTTGCTATCAATGCTGGACATGGGGACCCTCTTCACATTCAGGTAAGTGGCCCTCACTGCTGTCCTCTGGGGTGCCTAAAGGACTTCTCTCCTGGGAAACCCAGACACCAAGGCTGTTGACCCAGAAGTTGGTGGGGGTAATATGCATGGGTCCATTGGAAGGCAAAAATAAAGCCAGTGTCCTTGCAACCCCCTACCCTGGCCAATGCACATAGTTTGCATTGTCCATGATGACAGGTGTGTGTCTATGTGGACGGGCATGTTTAGGTCAGAAGGCCGGCCATGCTTCTTTTCATGTTTTTCTAAACTGATCTCAGACCCCTTCTCCATCTCCTGACCTGAATTCTCCTTGGGGCATTCCCTCCCTGGGTAAACAGTTTCATTCTGTGAGCAGCCTGGGTGTTCCCTTTTTCTTTTTGGTGTGAGTGGTCTGTTTTCTAAGCCCTTTGGGACTGCGATGAGCAGTAGTTACTTCAACTTAAAGTCACCGAGGTGACACCAGAGTTGCACAGACCCCCTTCAGGAGCTGACTTTCCTGCTGCCCAAGTGACAGCTGCAAACAAAACCCTCATTTCCTAGGACCTACGTCCTGCAGGGACCTGGCAGGGAGCTACCCTGCTTCACATCCAGAAGGCCCCAGGAGACTCGGCAACTGCACAGGTGCAAATGGGCTCTGGCTCCGGAGCACAGGCCCGGGCAGCATGATGTGTGACAGTGGGGGACAGGGGAGTAGGAGTCCTGCTGGGTCTCTTGATTGAGCAGTCAGAGGAGAGCTGTGCTTCAGCCTGCTTTCTGTTAAAGTGAATCCTCGAAACAATGTAGGAATGGTCAGCACTTCCTTGGAGTTCAAAAGCATACAGCTCTAGGCAGTCTGAATTGTCCTGCAAAGACTGTAGTCATAGCAACTTAGGTTTTCATCTCATACAGCTTCTAGAAGTTTCTAAAGCTTTCCTCCAACTATTTTGTGAAAATAACTCCATCAAGTAGGATTTCCATTCAGCAGTTTAGAAATTACCAGTTTTGTACGTTTTATGGAGCATGGAGAGGCCCTGGAGGTACCAGGACTGCACCCCCATCCTTTGTCCTCCATCCAGAATTCTGGAAAACAACCCAGAAGAGCTAATTCCCCCCAAACCACTGCTTTCCAGAGATAATACCAACTGCCATTTGTTGAGTGCTTTGCATGAACCGGGCTCTGTGATCAGCCCATTTAATCCTCAGAACAAACCCAAGGTGGACACCGGAAAGAAACAAATAGACCCTGAGGTTCTGAGAGGTCAAATAATTTGCCCACTGAAAAGCAGCCAGGAAATGTCAGAGCCAGGATTCAGCCCGGCCTGAGGGACACTGAACCTGTGCTCTTCACTGACCCAGCACCGGGCTGCTGAATCCTGACTGCTCACACGAAGCCACGTTTGAAGCTGCAGAGTAAAAACCTACTCCTGGAAATTCGAGACCAAGCCTTCATCTGAGTCCCCTGCAGTTGCTGAACACCTGGCAAGTTTCCAAGATGTTCTTCCTTCCATCTCCAACCCCAGGTGATTTGAGAAATCATTTCCCAGCCATGTCCGTGGGCGTGAGAGCTGGGGTCCGGCCTGCTGTGTCCGTGATTACTGCTCCCGCTAACAGCTTGCAAGCCACCATGCCAAGTGCTAAATTACAGACCTTCCCTCCGAGAGATTGCTTTTGTCACCTGCTTTCCAAGTAACAAACACTTAAGCCTCTGAGCAGCTGAAAGCAACTCCCGGCCACACCTGGACACCCCCCCCCCACGTCCTCTTGGGGTGTGGCTCTCAGAGCAAGGATCCTGGGAAAGTAGCATCTCATCGCCTAGGTCCTTGTTAGTAATGCAGAGTCTCGAGCTCCAGCCAGAAGTCCAGAATCAGAAACCCTGGAACTGGAACTGACCTTCCCGGTGTCTCTGACGTGAACCTGAGCTTCAGAACCTCAACAGCGTCCTGTGAGGTACAGCCAGGAAACAGCCATCTGAGCCCTGTTCTGGAGGCTACTTGATGTGGCTGGTCTCCGTCTCAGCAATGCCCTGAAGTCCAGTGTCTGTTGGACTGACAGCAGGTTCCTGGGGGCAGTTTTCAAGCTGTGACTTGCTTTAATGGCAGGTTAACTGTAACGTCCCTGCATCCTGTGCGGCCCAGCCTTTCAGCACGCGGTCAGCGTTCCAGACTGAGCAGCTTCTCTCTGCTCAGCCAGACGAAGGGAACTGACCCATCCCTGCCCTTCCCTTCTCTCTCTTTTGTGTATTGTAATAAGCCCAGAATTTAGATTCGAAAGATGGAGAACAAACAAAACGTTCATCAGTACACTGATAACACAGACAGCAAGACCACTGTGGACTGACATCCTATTCAGGAGGCGAACGAGGAGAAATAATGAGAATGTTCTCAGTTTTCAAGGAATCACCACGCATCAGACACTGCCCTTTGTACTTTATGTGAATTAATTCACTTAATCACCAGGGATTATGATTTCCTTGTTTACCAAGACGAGGCAACAAAGGTGCAGGGGAGTTATCCTGTGGACACCTGCTGAATGACAGAATGCACACCCACGACCAGCATTCTAAACCATTTTGTTAAACTGCCTTTAGGGAGCTAGTATATTTTGAATGTCTCTGGCCAGCTCTCTGCCAAGTTCTTCCCATCATCTCATTTAAACTTCTTGGCAATTCAACAAGATAGGTGTTGTTTACCCCAGCTGATACAAGAAGAAACCAAAGCCTAGTTAAAGTATTTTGTTATGCAAGATCCTCAGCTCCTGAGTGGTAGAGATGGGATTTGAACCTTGGCCCAAAGACTCGACTGTGCTGTGTTTTGAACCTGGTACAGGCTCCTGGTCATCACCCATGCTGGACAGATTCTGTCCAAGGCACTAAGTGTCAAGAGTACCTGTTCAACAAAATAACAAATAGAAAATCAGCTATTTGGGGGCCTAGTTTTTGGCTGAGGCTTGTGATTGACAGCTGTCACAATATTCTTTTTCACACTCCACTAAAGTAGCGTTACTCAGCCTTTTCCCAGTTAAGTGACTGGTTTTGGTGGACATCGCTGCAGTGATCGGGCTGGGGGTCAAGGTCCTGCCTTCCCCAGCCTGCCTGTCTCATCCCGCAGCACATCTTAATGAAAACCCACCTGTTGGTCAGTGCTCATTCGGCCACACTGAGGGTTGGACGACAGTACAGTGCCAGTGAGGAACGAGCAAATGAAGGAAGCAGTCGCGTTCTGTCATTAGAGCCCGCCCTGCCACCCTCAGCCTGTACAGAGCCTTCCCTAAGGATACAAGAGCCCGCACTTCCTGTTCCTTTCTCCTGCAGCTCCTCTGTCGGGTTCCCACCCGCCATTCCATCTCCCCTGCAAGCGCCAGAGCTATGTGTGGAGTGTTCCTATCCCACTCCACACCCCGTCTTGTGTACCCCACAAGTTTTAGGTTCCTCGCTTGTTCACTCCATTATTCAATTTGAGTGCAACCACTGAGTGCTTGTTCCATTGTCCAGAGAGCGTAGGGAATGGTGACATACAAGGATGGTTTTCCAAAAGTGGGTCAGAGTACGAGTCCTGAGCTTGAATCCCAGCTCCACCACTGTACGATTTATAACCTGACGTTGGGTAAGTTGTAAGAATTAAAAATCTGTATGGGCCAGGTACAGCGATACATGCCTGTAATCCCAGTGGCTCAGAGCTGTAGAGGAGGATCACAAGTTCAAGGCCAGCCTCAGCAACTTAGAGAGGCTTTAAGCACTTATCAAGAACCAGTCTCAATTTTAAAAATGAAAAAAAGGGGGGGGTACTAGGATGTGTCTCAGTGGTTAAGCACCCCTGGGTTCGATTCCTGGTACAAAACAAAAATAAAAACACACACCACACACACACACACACACACACACACACACACACGCTATGTGCATGTTTTTAAAAAAAGTTCTAGTACATAAGGTTAATAAATACTAGCTTCTTGCCATTGTTATATGGTGATACTCATTTTCTATGCTGTAGAACAAAGCACTACAAACATAGCAGCTTAAAACAGTACAGATTTATGGCCTCACTGTCTATGGAGTCTGGTCCAGACCCAGAGAGTTGGCAAAGCCACAGTTCTCCAGCCCACATGCTTCCCTTCCCAGCTCCGGGGCTGCTGGTGCAATTCCTTCTCTTGTGATTGCAGGCTGAGGTCCCTGTGCTTCTGCCAGCTGCTGGCCCGTCACCCCCTCAGCTCCTGGAATCTAGTCCTCTGTCCTGGGGCCCCATAGAACCCTCTGCTCTCAGCAGGGCTTCTCCTTCTACATCAAGACCTGAAGGTTCATGTGATCCAGTCAGTCCACCTCCACAACCTCCTGTTTAATTAATCCAGGGCCATTCAGTTAACAACCTTAACTATGTCTACAAAACTCCCTTTTGCTGTCTAATATAACATGATCACAGGAGTGGTGTCCTACTCATAGGTTATGCCCCAAGGTTATGCCCCAGAGAGTCACCAGCAGGGATAATTGCAGTTGTCAACGAGATCAACCTGTAGTTGGTTCCACAGAAATGACAGAGCTCCCAGGATCTCACTAACCTTTTCACAGGGAACATCTCATTAGTGAAGGATGTGGACAACCAATGGTATCAGTCTCCCGGGGCTGCTATGACAAAATCCTTAAAACTAGGTAGCTTCACATAACAGAAATTTGTTTTCTCACAATTCTGGAAGCCAAAAGACCAAAGTCAAAGTATCTACAGGTTCATGCTTTTCCCAAAGGCTCTAGGGAAGACCCCTTCCTTGCTTCTCTCTGCTTCCTTCCGGTGGTTGTGGGCAGTCCTTGACACCCCTTCATCTGCAGACAGGTCCCTCAGTCTAATCTCTACCTCCATCTTCCCATAGTAGAGTTCCAGAGTGTGTTCCAGAGTGTGTCTGAGTCCAGATTTTCCTCTTCTTATAAGGACACCAGCCATTGGATTAGGGTGGGCCCTAACTTGACCTCATCCTGACTTGACTATATCTGCAGAGAACCTATTTCCAAGTAGGTCACCTTTCCAGGCCCTGGGTCAGGATGTGAGCATGGTTCTGCAGGGACGCAGCAGCCCACCTGTTAGTATCTCTTCTTCCCTCAAATCAGCCAGCTCTGGAAAGGCCTCTTCCTTCCCTTCACTCAGGGCTTTCCTCTGTGTGCCCAGGTACCACGTCTGGACAAAAGGCCACGCACCCACAAACTTCGCCAAGTGGCGGACCGCCACCACGCCTTACCGGGTTGAGTGGGAGGCTGACTTTGAGCCGTACGTGGTGGTGCGTCAGGACTGCCCCGAGTATGACCGGAGGTTTGTGGGCTTCGGCTGGAACAAGGTGGCTCACATCATGGAACTGGATGCGCAGGTGAGAACAGCGTCTGGGGCTGGGGACAGAGGCTTGGATCTCACAGCTGAAGGGTGACCTGGGGACAGAACACAGGGTCTGAAGAGGGAGCAAGATGTGTTCAGGACCCAGAGTGGGAACCTGGCAGTGCTGGTCCTCAGGCTGTGGTTCTCAAGCCATTGCTTTCTTCCACCCTTGTACGAGAGTCAGGTTCCTGATACTGCTCAGCACTCAGCCTCTGAGTCGCAGAAGGGACACAGAGCATCCTAAGGGTTCCATGTACTTGGCACTAAGCTCACCACAGGCACGGCTCACCTTTAACTAAAAGAGTGGTGATTTTTAGGCAGCATTTAGTCTTTTTTAAAATATTTTTTAAAACTTTTCTAGTGGCAGCCACATCAGCGTATATAGCACCTCAATTGACAGTAGCTGAACTATGTAACCAACCTAGGTGTCCTTCGATAGATGAATGGATAAAGAAAATGTGGTATATATTCAATGGAATATTACTCGGTTTTAAAGAAGAATGAAATCATGGTATTCGCTGGTAAATGGATGGAGCTGGAGAATATCATGCTAAGCAAAATAAGCCCCAGCCGCCGTCTTTTCTCTCTGTGCAGTTCCCAGGCACCTCCAGCTCAAGCACAGGGTAACTATTCCTTAGCAAGACCATCCCAGATCTGGAAAAAGTACAGATTGGATGCTCCGTGTTGGCCCTCCATGAGCGTCACCACGGGGACTTCGCAATGGTTCCACTGTGTTTAAGAGCAGTCCCAGGTGACTGAGAACCACTGGGCCTGAGAACCGCTGATGTCAGAAGAAGGTGCTAGAACAGCGTCCATATTGCACGACAGAAAGCTGTTTTCATAGCACCTGGTGGGAGCCCAGAGCTGCCCGCAGGCTGCAACGTGGCGTGAGCCTCAACTGCTGCTAGAAAGAATGGTGGTCTAGTGTCCAGCCAGGTCGTGAGGTGAACCGGTTCAAAGAAAGCTCATCTTGCGGTACTTTGTTTCTGCAGCTTAGCAGAACAGTGTTAAGCATTCTCCTTTCTTTGCCGGGAACACATCAGACACGAGTTTACCCTTTCGGTGACTTAATGGGGGCACACCTCACAGGTTACAGAGCTGCGCCCAGGGGGCTACCGGTCCTCTCGGGGCACTCCATCCCTGTGCCCCAGACACAGCCGGGCTGGGCGAGTTCTCGCGTTTTCTCTTCGCAGTTTCTCCCACCCCTTCCTTGCTCGGCTGTCAGTGTTGCTGCCTCCGTGTTCCACCTGGGACGGGCGCTGTCCCCTGTCCCCAGTTGACCTCTCTGGGTTTATCCTCCTCTGCTCTGAGCTGGGGAAACAGAGGACCAGGATCAGGAGTAAGAGGCAGAAGGAGGGCGTGCTGCGTTCCCTGGGAGTTACGTGTCCTAAATTTGTGTCACCAATTTTGGCTCTTCGGAGGCAGGCCTTTTATTTTTGGACTGAGTTTTTATCTGGGTTCTGCCAGGTCGAGGACACTCTGTAACGACAGGGCTCGTAGGAAGGAGGAGTCGGGGACAGCTTTGTCCTTGAAAAGCTTCAGTCTTGTGTAATGTTTGTTTTTATTTTCTTCTTTTTTTTTTTTTGTCCCCTGTTTTGAACTTATCTGTGGGTGTCAGTCGTTGGGACAAGAGACCGTCCCATGCTGCCTCATCCTAGAGCCACCACGTGGGTGTGCGCTCACGTCTGTCGGGGCCTTTGAGGGGCCTGGGGGCCAGCTCAGTGCTGTCCCTACAGTGGTGCATCCAGGCAGATGTTATTACTTCCACCTTGATTTTGAGCAGCCCAAGGCTCAGATCGGTCAAGTACCTGCGGGGGTCAGGCTGTCCCCGTGCCGCCTGCTGTCCCCCAGGTGGTTGATGAACTCGGCGTCACCCTCTGCCCTTCTCTTTCTCTCCAGGAATATGAGTTCATCGTGCTGCCCAACGCCTACATGATCCACATGCCCCACGCCCCCAGCTTCGACATCACCAAGTTCCGTTCCAACAAGCAATACCGCATCTGTCTCAAAACCCTGAAGGAAGAGTTTCAGCAGGACATGTCCCGCCGCTACGGCTTTGCCGCCCTGAAATATCTCACGGCCGAGAACAACAGCTAGCACCAAGAGGCCACCACTAGGGAGAGACATGCCACAGGGGACGAGCGACTGGCTGTTTGGGGCCCAGCCTTCAAAGTCGAAATTGAGCATTTGGGGTTTCATTTTTCTTTGTCCCTTTGGCCCTGCCGGGCTGCTCTCGCTGCAGAGATCTTGACGGGGACACAGCCAGCTGCAGAGAGTTTGGCATTCCCAGGGCGTAGAATTCCCAGGCCTGGCCACACAAGTCTCCTCAAGAAGGGACCTAGAGGGGAGAGCGAGGAAGGGGTTATCATCTTACCACAAAGCCACAAACCAAGACAGGGCTTCCAGATATTCTTATGGCTTTTTAATAGTCATGGGTCCCCTGGTAGCTGGAGGTGGGGAGTCACAGTGCTGGGGTTTGCTCATCCCGGGAAGTAAGAGCACGCCATCTCGTCCTCAGAGGAGACCTTCCTCACCCTGCAGCGTAGTTCGGCACCCAAGGGGAGGGCTAACCAAGGATGGGAACTAGCCATTGGGAAGAACCCCGTGGGGACAACGGATCCGGAGGGACCTGGAGTTGGGCTGGTCGATTCTTTATCCTCAAAGTCCCTCTTGTTTTCTTTTGATTTGCTTTAGTTTGGGGGATTAAGTTTCTTTTTGGTCCGGGAATCCAAACTAGAAAATCTGGTCCTCTCAGGCCCTAAAAGGAAAGTCAGCTGCCTCAACCAGCGTCCCCTGTCAGCAGTGGCCCGATGAGGAGGACAGGAATCTCCAGCAACTATCCAGACGTGGGCAGCTGGCGCTCCTCACCCAAGGCCCCCTCCAGGACCCAGGGCTGCGACGGGGACTGCAGAGACACAGCTCCTGGCGTGCGGTCACGTTTCCCATGGGCAGCGGCCGGGTCACGAGGAAAGGGCTTTGAAGGAGACGTTTCCATGCACACTGAAGGGACAACCCTCTCAGGCCTTCAGAAGAACTCGGGGCATTCCCGGGTGCCCAATGTGACCACTCGTGTGACCCTGGGGGAGGCCCCCGGGGAAAGGATGGAGCTGGGGTCCTCTGTTCTTGCCCACTTCCCTGTGGAGGGGAAGAGGTGGCCACCTGAGTCTCCCCTGGGGACCTGTCCAGGGGGCAGGCACCTTCACCGCTCCACAGACGAGGAGACACTGGACTTTTTACCCGTTTTCTTTACTCTTCAGTATTAATGTTGTGTTTACACTGACGAGAACACACGAGTGGACGCCCTGCCCTGCGCCGGGCTGTTGGTATGGCCTTGCCATGTGACCAGGGAAAGCAGCACTCAATAAAGGAAAGTACTGACTGTTTCTCCGCTCCCTCCCCTCGCTCCTGTAGGGAGCTGCAGAGACACCCCCACAGGGTGAGCTCCAAAGGCAGCTTGAACTTTCTTTTCTCTCTTTGCCCGAGGTTAGGTCTCACTTTACCCTCTAACCCTCAAGCCATTTCCAAACTCTCCATTTAGCTTCTGTTCTCACCACTGAAGTCTGGGGTTTTATGGCACCCCATGTGCAAATCGTGGGAATCAGTAGAAAAACGGACATCATGGGTCCCCTGGTCCTGCCAGTCACACATCCCTGATTTTGCAGTGGCCTGCGTTACCTGCTCAGGTGGAGGTGAACCTGAGCCTTTGAGCAGAAATGGGAAAACTTCAGCTAGGACTAGTTCTCACACAGTTGTGGGTAAATATACATCTGTGTATAGAAACAGAGAGCGAGAAACAGCATTCACTATTACAGAAGTCATCCATGCGCACTGTGAAAAGTCAGCACCCAAAGCGTTCAAAACACATTCAAGGCCAAGTTCTTTGGTGATGGGCTGGGGCCGGCCCCTGAAGGCAAGAGGGTGACTGTGCTTCTCTCTCCACTTCACTTCTTTGTGGTCTCCCCCACCAAGAGCTGCTGGAGAAATATTTATAAGCAGCACCCACTGCCTCCTGCCTTCTCCTGTGCATGCGCGCGCGCGCGCACACACACACACACACACACACACACACACACACTTCTCTTCCTTCCCTAGAGAGGCCCAAGTGAGCAGATATACTTTGAATTAATCATTACCAGCTACTTGAGCCAAGTTGAAAATCAGCTGGTCATGCCAGTTCCTCGGTGTTAAAAATCAATTTTTAATTCCCTAAAGCTTTTTTTTTTTTTTTTAATTTGTCCTGGCACTTGAATCACGCTCGGCCACCTTGCTTTCGCTTGCATTTTTATGGGCATAGCTAGTGACCATAAAATTTGTCCTCCAAACTGGGTCACTTCTAAGAACGAAAGAAGGTGCTAATTACTTTGAGATGATGGGTATAAATGGGGAGATGAGGAAGCCTCGTTCACACGGAATGTACTAGAAGCAGAAAATGACACTCCCCGCCAACTGGAGAAAATCTCATTTCTCACAAAGAAAGACAGGTGCCTGATGCTATAAACCAATCCCAGGGACTGCAGTTCAGACGCTGCTGGTGTGTAGGTTCACGTGGAGGCCACCAGCCTCGGGAAGGCCTCCAGAGGTCTGCGGAGCCAACCACACGAATTCCCAGAACCTGCAGTGGGAGCAGCCACTCTGCCAGCTCCAGCTCATGTGTGGGGACAGCCACCATCTGGGCAGAGGATGCTGTTCCTTGGTATCAGTTCCCTGGGGGAAAACAAACAGGATCACAATCCTGTCTTGGCTTTCTGCTGAGAGGAAGAACAGGGCTCCCTCTTTAACCCTTATCATGGTCACTGTCCAGAATCAACCATTACGTGCACGATCTTGTATCCTTAGCTCATCGGGCCCTGGGAGCAGATGCAAAGTGGATCTGATTGTTTATCGAGGAGGAAACTTGAGTGTGCTCTGTGAAACTGACCTCCCCAAACTCACGTAGCCACCAGATGACGAGAATCGAAACCCATCCCTACTTGTTCGAAAGCCAAAGCCACATAACCCGCAATGCTCCTCCCTCCCCAGGGAGAAGGATGCAGATAGGAAACGGGCAGACGAGAGTGTCTGAACCCGAGGAGACAGAGGGCTGGGTTTCTAGGCTTCATCCCGGTGCACCGTGGAAGGACAATCCCAACCTTAACACGGTTCCTTTCAAAGATCTACTGCCTTTGAGTTGAGGCCTCATTTGTGGTCACCGTGCCCTTAGGGAGCTCTGTGCCAGTGGAAGGAACGTGATTAAAATCCCGTCTCAGACACACACAGCCTGTGTGCACTCTTGGTACAGGTAGTAGGATCTCATTTATTCAGCCAAGACTTGTATGGTGGTACCACTGTGGGATCCTCATGGCCATGTTATAAGAAAGGTTTGATTTTCCCTCTTATTTATCTAGTAGAGCTGGCTATCAGAGAAATTATGTGACTTGCCCAAGGCCACACAGATTATTCTTGGCAGTGTTGGGATTCTAACCCAATTCTGAATGGCTTCAAATCTCATGTCTCCCCACTACTTTATGCTCCTACCTTCCCATATGATACTGCAATGAGCTCAGCTACTGGGCTTAGACAGTCCTACCTTCATGGAGCATGCACATTATCCTCTTTAGAAAACAACTACAGGTTAGTTTTCAGCTTAATGCCATTAAAAGTTGTGAAATGTCATTTATTTACCAATTACCCCAACCCTCATTTCAAACTCCAAGAATCAGAAGTTGGGCCTACTACAGTCTTCATTTTCTTTCATTTAACAAAACATTGTTCTGAGAAAGTGGCCCGAAATTTCAAGGAACAGCTGGTAACATCTGAGAGTAGGCATTGGGGACCCCATAAAAAAGGTTGGGTGTCTGATCTTGAACAGATAATGGATTTGGTCATTGCTTTTTTCTGGCATATTCAAATAATCTTGAGAGACAGTGATTTCTGGGATGAAAGAATTTGTCAGTCAGCTGTGGGACAGTGTCTCTCAAGGTGTAGTACCAAGCCATCTGACCAGCAAGGCTGGGGTGTTGTCATGACATGATTGGCAGGGCTCACTCAGAGCCAACTCTTCACCCGTTTCCTGGATAAGACTCCATCTATCGTGATGACAAAGAATGAAAATAAGGGCTGCATGGAGATCAGTAATTTCATTGCATTCTTTATCGTTACTCACTAAATTCTACAAATTGTTTATTGAGCATCTACTCAGTGACACTAAGAATACAAGGATGAACTAGGTAGAGCGTACTTTTCACGAGTTGCACAACTGACTAGATGGTAGCAAAGCAAACATAATACTAAGGCAGTTTTCGCTTTATTACATCCACATAAATGTTAGTTTAGTTTTATTTTCATTTATCTATTTCTATAACTCTTCTGTGCATTTTCAAACTTATACAAGAATTGCAAGAACAATACAGATGCCATTTGTACATCTTCCATTTAGACTGATCAATCGCTAACACTTTGCCACATGTGTCTCATGGCTCTTTGTGTATAAATTATTTTCCCTGAAACACTTGAGAGTGAATCGTAGATGCTCGACACGTTTAAGTCTACAGGCTTTGGCACATATTTATTAAAGCCGTGGCTTTGTCTTATATACCCACAACAGAACCGTTGAATTCAGGAACTTTAACACTGATATAGTACTGTCATCTCATGCTCAGTCCACCAACTTTGCCAACTGTCCTGAGAGTGTCTTGCTGGCAGCAACCTCCACCCAACCCAGCCACACACTCCAGTGCCAGGATCCCATCCAACATCACCTCCCACCTTTAGTTGTCTCTAGTCTCTGATCAGGAACAATTACTTGTGTCATGTTTCATGCAAAGGTATTTTTGAAGGGGGAAGTCCAGTTGTTTTATTAGTTCATTGTTTTGAATGAAAAAATAATGTTATGTACACAGGGCAATGCATAAAATTTTCAGTGTCTCTAAACTCCTTGAGTTATGCTACGTGACAGAGTACTATGGCGGACGGTGTTAAGAAGTTCGGAAGGTTCACCGGGATGTGCGAGCATTGCCCAGACAGCCGTTGGGGCCCTGAGACAAAGCTCACTGCCCAGGCACCTCTCTAATTCACCGTAACAGCAGACAATGGAAGGGATCCTTTTCTACCCACTTAAAGATTTTATAGTGGTTTTTCAGTTCTATTCATTAATTGAAATGCTCTTTGTGTAAGGATGGGGGTTTATTACTTTGTGTGGTATAGATGTGGACCTTCATAGCTTTGTCTTTTTGCCCATTTCTCAGATCTGCAAGGAAAAAGAGATAAAGCAGCTTTGGGAGATTTCCTGACCTCTCCGACTTCACTCACGGGGCCTGGTGTATGAACATCAGGGCTTTGAATCTCCCATCTTTCCCCAGAGACAATTTAATATGTAGGTAGAAGGGAATGACTTGACTTATTTCTCACGACTATTGAGATCAACATTTAATATTTAGGCCGTTAGCAGATCACAAATATCTTTAACCAAGAAAAAAAAAATGCCCGCCCCCCCCCAATCCAAAAACCCCACAAGAAGAAAACAAAAAAAACCCCTTACCAGCAAAGGCCTGGCAAACCGGCCCCAAAAAAAAAAACCCCGGCCCCGGTTTTCCCCGGGGCCAAAAAGGCCAAGCCAAACCAAACCAACAACCCGGAAACCCAAAAAGCCCGGCGGCCCGCCCAAAACAAGGAAGGGGCCCCCCGCCCGGGGGAACCTGAAAGCCCAAAAAACCCAATCCGAACCCGAAGGGTTCAACAACCGGGAAGTAACCGAAACCGAACCAAGGCCAAACCAACAAGAAAAAAATGAAGGAAGGGCTCATCCTTAATCCTGTTCTCCAACCACAGATCTGCTCCAGACGCTCTGATACCACGCAGAGCTGCCTGCATCTGGAGAGCACCTGTTACAGGCCCGTGTGCTTGATTTGTGGCTTCTGTCACTCACAGGAATCCCAGGAGTGGAGCGATTATTATTTTAATAGATGTGAAAACAGAGACTGAGTGAACCTGGGTAATCCGGGGAGCCACGAATCAGGTTGTTTTACTTACTCCAACGCCATCCATCGTGTGCAGCTTTGGCGGATAAGGGTGACCTGAGTGTGGAAAATGGAGACAATGATCATAGGAAAAATCAGACGGGAGTCTGTCTGCTGGTCTCCTCCCTCACCCATCCTAGACTAAGCCAGACCATCTGGTCCCTCCCTTGGAGACTCAGCCCTTCCACACCGCTGCTCCATGACAACAGGAGCTCTGCTGGTTAACACAGGCAGAGATCAGTGCAGGCCTAGGAGAGGAACAAACATGAGCTGAACAATAAGCGTTGTCTGTCTGCTCTGCCATAGAAAGAATGAGGCAGGTATTGTCTCCATTGTAAAGATAAGGATACAGAAGGTCAGAGAGCTTAGGTAAGAAGCCTGAAAATTAA